ATATCATCTCTGCAATGGTGTTGGGTGGCTTTCAAGGGAAGGGCAATAGAACAGACAGTACGTTGGTCTAATAGGAACTAAGTTGTCATTTGAGTGTTCTTCCTGACCAAAGGCAGGATGACAACAAAATAAATGAAAAAATTATCTGTTACAAAAACAAAATTTAGCCATAAACTACCATAAAATTGTGCACAGCTTACTGTAGTTGATTATATAAACAGACTTCAACTGCAATGAAACATTTGACCTGAGTCTAAACTTGAGTTAAGAAATATCCTAGTTACTGAGGTGGTACCTGTGGCTCAAAGGAGTAGGACGCTGGCCTCATATACTAGAGATGGTGGGTTCAAACCTGGCCCAGGCCAAAAAAAAAAAAAAGAAATATCCTAGTTATTAAGCACACAAAAGTGCTTTTTTACTTTACAATTGGAATTAAGAGATGCCAATATATACATTGCCTTGTGGTTGGCAAAGACATTCAGATAAACTGTATTCAATTAAGAGTCGGCTTAAAGAGCAGATCTTCTTCAAAAAATGCTTCTTGTGGCATTTTTTCCCACCCACAAGAACACATTTTTTCAAAGCTAAGGGATCATTTAGTACTTCTCCTGTGTATTTTTTCCCACTTTTCTAGTTTATTCAAAGCTACAATTGCAGCTCTCAATATATAAAGGCCACCAAGAAATATGTAACATGTGGTACAAACTTGATTTGGATGACAGTTCAAAGCATTTCATACTTTATTAAAAAACCATAATTACTAGGTCATCAGTAAATAGTTTTTTCTTCCAAAGGAATATTAAGTGATGTATCACAAAATTGTCTCACAAAAAATCCTTCTTGCGATAGCTTACCTGCTCAGCCCTCTCCTGGCACTGGTGCGCTCACTGACACACACAGAAAGGTTTGAGGTGTGGCTGTTAATTAAGTGGCACTGAGTCAGTGGAATTTAGTATGCAAAGGTGCAAGAATTAGGAGTTAACATTTATCTTCTGGAATAATTTTACCTACTAAATAAAGCTTGGAAATAGCTTAGTTTTTTTTTTTTTTTTTAAGAAACAACTGATGTTTATTTTCTGCCAACCTTATTTCTATCTTATTTAAGAGCCTGTGGCATTACGTTAACATTACTCAGCAGTTGTTCCTAACCATGTAGTGGCCTGAGCAGTGGAGGCTGCACACTGTCTTCTGTGGTGGCTGCGTGCTCCAGTCTTCAGTGGGGAGCTGCTAAACAGGCACAGAGGGCACCTGCAGCCTTCACACCAGTCTGTGGCCTCAGGCTAAGAGTGTAGCAGGGCTCTAAAGGGCTGGAGCAGTCCATTCACCGTGAGACTCCTTCTTGATCACAGCCTCTTCAGTGGCAGCCTGCTCTTCCTTTCCAGTCTCTTCAGGATCTCTGCAGAAGCAGAGATCAAGCATGATCTCCCAAGGATGTTTACGGGACACGGTGCCATAAGTGGGCAGAACTTCCCAGGCCAGCATCTACCACAGTAAGCCCACTGACTGAGCTCCACAGTTGTTGCATGGGATGCGACGTCCACGTAACGCAGAGGAGAATCTGTGTTTCATAGAGCAATGGTAGGATAAGATGAGACGTCTCAAGATGCCTCTGCGAGAGGCAGGTGGTCAGCCTCAGTAACCACCCTAAATGTGCCTTCCCGATTCGGGCTGCCTGGATCTGGTTAGTGAAAGTTCTGGGAGTGATGTGACCGGAAGTAGGAGCAAATTCAGCATAGTTGGCTGACCAACATTCCTGCAGGACAGGCCACTGACATCAGCAGGGTTTTCAAGTTGCCAGCAAAAGCTTCTCCCAGGTCCTTTTCAGATTTGTAACGTAGATGCCATCCCTTTTCCTTTGGTAGATGTACTGTTCCATTTGGAAGTCATGGTTGGTGCCACCTAAGTGGGGTTCTGCTGCAAGGACTTTGGGAATATCCTCCTCTTTCACTGGTAGGACATCAAGGGCTCTGGATATTGTGAAGGTTTCTATTTAAGTTATCATGGGAATCCAGAATAATGCTGCATGGACCCTACTCTGGCTAGTACAGAAAGGCATAGCTCAGAATTAATAACTGTTAAATGTGCTCAAAGGAAAGATTTTTATTTTTTTTTGTTTTACTCTGTGCCAGGTAGTTTTGCTATTATTTGTTTCTATTAAAAAAAATTAAATATATTTAATGTGAAAACTTATAGCTTATTTCTTACAAATCACAAGGTAAGCATATCTCTTATGTATTATTTATCATCCTTATTACTGACTGTACTCAGAGGCCACGATTCCTCTCTAGGAAGTTCCGAGGGAACTTCATGCCACTGAACCTGTCACTTTTCTTTCCTCCTCACTCCTTATAACTTCCTTTCTGAAGGAAGTCACGTACGTTGGGAAGAGCCCAACTTAACTCTGATTACACTCAATACTTGGAAGATAGCTGACAATAGAATTCCAAACTTAAAATACATATCAACATATGTATTTTATACTTGTAAATATGCACTGTATATATTTTACACATGTATACATACTTTAGAATGCACTTACATCAAATATGTCTTTTTCTTTTTATCTTACTTTAATTTTATTTGAGACAGAGTCTCATTTTGCTACCCTCAGTAGAGTGCTGTAGTGTCATAACTCACAGCAGCCTCAAACTTTAGGCTCAAGCAATCCTCTTGTCTCAGTCTCCCAAGTAGCTGCGACTACAGGTGCCCACCACAACACCCACCACAACGCTGGAATATTTTTAGAGATGAGGTCTTGCTCTGGCTCAGGCTGGTCTTGAACTCCTGAGTTCAGGCAATCCACCCGCCTCAGCCTCCCAGTCTTTTTCTTTTTAATTAAAGCATTCATTTTATTGCATATCTGAATTTAGAGCATGATTGATCCCAACATTTAATTACTGATTCCTAAACTCTGAGTCCTAGCAAATAAGTTAATTTTCCTGCCCACATATGAATGAGACTAATGTCAGGGATAAAAACAGAATGACTGATTAATACAAATATAGGTAATTGTCATACAAAAGCACAAAGGAGAGTATAAACTCTGATTCAGACATACCTCACAGATTTTAGGGGCAGAAAGAAAAACTTTAATGCTATCAATCAATTTTACTTCCAAAAGAGAGTAAAAGATCTGATTATATACAGTTTCATATATGAGAAAGTTCCCAGAATACTGTGTACACACACTTTAATTGAAAAAAAATAACAATGAATGAAAATAAGAAGCATAGACTGTCTCTTCAGAAAGTATGTTAGGAATTAGTTTATTCTACCAGTTGGTGACATATATTATTCATGTAACTCTCCTTCTATCTCTGTTCCTGTACCAGGCAACACCAAACTACTCCCGAATACCAATAGTGAGTGGACAGAGGGGCCATACACAGAAGGCGCACAGTAGGTGCTAGGCATTTGGGCAGGACATGAAGGATAGAGATTAGGCACAGAGAATAGCTGATATTACCCTCTGGATATGCTGGCTGTATCAAATTAAGAACAAATTTTCTTTCTACAAGTTTAGATTATTCAGAATACTAAATAAAATTTTCTCAAAAGTTAAATTTTAGAAATGATAATTAGGTTAATTAGACCAGCATAATTAGACAAGCATAAGTGTCTATTGAAAGCTCCATCTGTAGTTGTAGAAAACTAAGTTTTTCAAATACATATCTTTGGTGATAAAAATACAAATAAAATCGTGGCTACCATTTATCTGATACACACTCCATCTCAGGCACTAGCAGGTGCTATACCTACCTTGTTTTATATATTGTTCAACAATGTTATAAGGGCTGGTGTTACCCCATTTTGTAGATGAGAAAACCAGTGTTTAGAGTAGTAAGACAGCTTGCTGAAAGTTAAAAGGGTAGGAAGTCTCAAAGCCTGTACCTGTCTGGTTTCAGAGTCAACTCTTAATGATACAGTGTGCTGCTTCACAAGACCCATCATAAGAAAGAAGTTGCTTGCTAGGAATGATTTATGGTCTGAGAGCCAGAGTTTAGATGTGGAGAGAATACAATGTCTGGGCCACCCTTTGGTTTTGTAGGAAAATCTACACAGAATACTTCAAAATGGGACCTTACCCATTTGAATTGGATGTTTTCAGTAGCTGCACGGGCCAGTGCAAAAAGATGCTGCCTCTGTTGAAAATACTTCCAAGTCTCAAATAATCATGAAATGAACATAACTACTTCATGTAGTTAAAGGAAGGTATTTCTCCTGAACTACTGCTCATAGAATTTATAAATTGGGGAAAAGGAATAACTGCCTACATTACTAGTTTGCCAGTATGGATCCAAGTCAGGTGCCCCTACATTAGAGTCTAGCTCACTAACAGGTCTCAAACAAAAAGAATATTTTGTACATGCCCAATGTCAATAGTTCCTTAAGTACCCAGCTCTACCTGCTCTTTCATTTTCCTGGTCCTCTTCCTCTGAGTACCTCAGTGTGACCTCAATAGCATCTATTCTTATACCACTCTGGCTTGTTGAATCATTCAGTTTTTTTCTGGTTTTCAACTTCTTCACAGCAGTTAAACTGAGATTTGTTTGGGCAATATCCTTTTAGCTTGGAAGGCTCAAAGGGTCCCTGTTCCCAAACACTGCCTTTCGGGTGGCTTCCTACCAAGTCTCTTCCAGGCTTTCTGGAAGGATTCACTCAGTTACCGAATTGCCTATGGCCTAAAACATGAAAGGAACATTAATCTGATAGATGTCAACAATCTCATGGAATATGTGATATAACAAAGAGAATAATATCTATTCTTTGGAGAGTTGGTCTGTTTTGAGAACTTATAACAAATAAATTAGTATGCAAAATTCTCAAATACAACTTATGCACTAGAGGAAAAAAAGTGCAGATTTTTAAAAAGAAGCCTAAGGAGCAACTTGAAGATGAACATAAATTTTCATTTTTGTAAAGCAATTTTATACATAGATTAGGCTCTTCCTCTAGGAAATAATACACTTAATTCTTTCATGGACAAAAATAAAACTTACCTTTGGAAATCGGCAACCAACTTGACATCAGCTATGACAAACTTGTGCTCAATAATCATGTGCTTTAGAAGTTTGTCTTGTTCAGCCACAGGAAAATGTTCTTCACAGAAAATACAAGGCACAGATGGAGAACCTTCTAAAGTGGTGGTGCCACCTGGACTTTCTGGCAGGGAAAGCGGCTCTAGGATACAATCCTTACTGTCTGGGAAAGACAAAAAAAAAAAAAAAAAAAAAAAAAAAGCTGAAACCAATTCTTTAGATAGATATTTCTCACCTTTTATATTAAAAGGATCTCAGAAAAAAAAATACATAGTGTCAGAGAGTGAGATACTCTATTATCACTTTAAATATCTTTTGCAACCCAGAGGCAGGGAATACTGCAAAACAGCTCAAACTCCCCATTCGCTTGCTTGAATGGGGGAAACCCATTCGTCAGGGCAGCTGTTCAAGTCTTCTTCTTGGACACTTGCCAATGGCAGCAATTCCCGGGGTACTTGCAAGGGGAAAGGCTGCATCATGCTGGGGTAGGGTTCTAAGGCCCAATTGTGACCTCTGGCTGAGAGTCGTCACAGTAAGGGAAGTGAATGGCGTACACTGAGGCTGCAGATGACGCCAGGCCTGTCTTTTAAGCTGCTTCCTGTCGCACCTGCAAACTCTTTCCTGTTTCTGATTATTTGTCACGTACAAAGAAGATGGCTGTCACATTGGGTTGATACAGCGTGTTCTAGGTGGCCCTCGTGGCAGTTTTCTATGTTGATTTATGTTTATCTTTTGCTATTACACAATTATGTATCACAATTTGTTCTGTGAACAAAGAGATGAATGCCCAATTACTAGACATATGTGATAAATATTTTTCCTGTCTGTACTATGCCTTTTTCTAACATCACCTATGGTATCTTTAGAGGTGAAGTGTGTAAGGTCTATGTCTCTGGTTTTGGGGCCTAAATCTACAGCCAGTAGTGTCAAGAGCCTCCTTTAGTCTGCCAAGGTAGAAGTTTGAACCTGTCATACAGGTTGTTGAGTAGTTAGTAACCAGAAAATTAGAGTAAAGCTTTTATTATTTTCAGGAGGCAGAAAAGGGCGAGACGGGGAGGAAGGAAAGAAGGGAAATGGCTATTCCACAGTCTGAAATTAGGTTAATATTAGTTCTCCTGTTCAAATTTATTTCTTATTCTTATCTGATTTTTTAAAGTGTTCTCAATTAATTAATTAATTGAATCAGTCAACAGTATACAGCTGACCATGGCTTAAGAATTAGGGAAGTGATGCCAGAGGGCAGCATTCGTTCACTCAACAAAAGTCAAATGAATGTCTACTGGATGCTGGTCTTTTCTTGTTTAATGTTGCATGATATGGTTCTTACCGACAAAGTTAAAGTGCTTGCAATTTGTTTTAAGGTATAAATAAATGAAAAAGATAAAGAGATAGAGACTGTACAGAGTTAGTGGGAGTGGGGGGAAGAGGAGAATCACCTAACTGAGCTACAGAGGGAAGGTATCCTGCAGGAGAGGACCCCTAATGCATTACTCACATAGCCTACTTATGTTAAAGTGTGCTAAATCAAAGTGTTTATCTTTGGCCATTAAATTATTTACTGATACTGAACAAGGTGAAAACTAGTAGGATATACATGATAGGCAGGAGAGTATGAAGATACATAAGCACTTTAGCAGCACTATTAACAAAATTGGTGCTACCAGTTATTGCATTTATTAAATTAGGTAATGGAATCAAGAAATTTTGGAATACTACAATTCTTTATTTGTAGGTATAGTCCTTAGCTGTAGGTTAAATTCTGTAGGAACTTAAACCAAAATGTGAAAAATAGGTTGGGTGAAAGAGAGGTAAATATGCTTATGAAACTCCATGATAATATTTTACATAACCTGGAATATGACAACAAAAGGCAGGATGTGCTAAATAAAGGTAACATTAGTAAATACTACTTGCCATATAGAAAATAACAAGTACTGTATTATCTGCTTCTCCTCAAATTTAATTAGATGTATGTAAATTAATTTTGTTTGCAGAATAGAAGCATATGATATTAATAACTATCACCAACAGCAGGAACTAACATTTATTGGGTGCTGGCTATTTGTAAATTACTAGCAAAGGACTTTAGTGTATTTTCCCCATTAATCCTATGTTATTTGGTACTACTATTATAAACTCATGTTTTAGATGAGAACTTCTACTTAGGAAAGTTAAATATTGTTCCAAAGTCAAAACAATGGGTAAGTTGAGCTTAAACACAAATGCTACATTATTGTCCCTAGTACCACAATGCATTTCTCCAACTCCTTGTTCTTCCTCACTATGTATATTCAATGCTGTTTTGAATTTATATATATTTCAAGCTACTTTCAATTGACATATACTCTGCTGGTGTCCTGAAGTCTCCTGATATTACCTCCACTAGTGATTCTTACACAAATATCAGTAGTCCACATCTTCCAAGAACTTGTGAAATAGAGTTTATCTTCATTATTCTCTTTATTTTTTTCCAAAGTTTTATTGCAAACTATTCATCATTTCTCTGTGATTTATTTTAATTCCCTTTTGTGTGCCTCATATCATGTTCCTCTTTTTAAAAAATTATTTCTAAAAGAATGGACCAGCATGTTCACATATATTAGAATCCAAGCGCTTGTGGTCAATAAAAGACATACAGGAATAAAATCATGCATATGCAAATTTCCATATAGAAGAACCTGTAGTTTGGGAAGGAGTAAGTTTTGTTTGGGAGCCAGAGTATGTATTCCAAAAAATATTGAAAAACTGCTCTGGTATAGTATATCATAGCTTGCAGCTAGGAAGGACCTAGACCCAAAACTCTACTCTAGAGATAAGAAAACTATGACTCAAAAGACTTTTTCTACCAAGCCATCCTACTTAGTTAAGAATTACAACAAGCTGCTTTGCATAGGCTAATGCCCACTGTTCCAAATGACTGACCACTTTAACCCTTTCTGCATCAAGTTACAACCAAGTCGACAAGGAGGCTTTGTCCCTCCCTGATGCAGTGCCAGTCTTTTTTCCTATAAAATAATGAGAAAATATTGGCTTACCAAAATATGCTTTAGGACTAATTTTATTATTGATAGAATAATTTATTCCAAAAAGGTCCAGATATATAAATGCCTTATGAGATAAAAACATTACAGGTCAATGGGGAAATATTATATCACTCAAGATTCCCAGTCTTCAGTTTTGGGGTGTTGACTTATGTAAAAAACCACTGATATCAAAGAGATTCAGAGTCTCAAAAGTAAAGAAGCTCCTTAAGAGATCTAAATTAAAACAAAATGCCCAAGTAACTGTTTATGTGAAATTATTAAATGGCAATCAATGAAAATGAACCAGATGCTTACACAAACCACATAAGACCATATATAGTAATTATAATGTCTTAAAAATTGAGAATGAATCAAAATGAGCAAGTCACAAAAAAAATTTATATGTGTAAATATAAATTTATTTGTATTTAAAACACATGGTTTTGGTATATTTTCTTTAATTCAAAGGTAGCTTTATGATTTAAAAAAACTTTTTTTACTTTGACTTTAACTTGTATGCAAACAAGAACAATAGCCTATAAACTATTCTTTGTACATCTGGTGTTCTAAGATCATTCCAAATTTTTAGTGTTTGCCAAATAATCGTATGTGGAATATGGTCCTGTATAATAACAGGGAAAGACAAAAAACCAAAGCATTGTAAATACTTGAGAAATATATAGATAATACTAACTAAACATTCCAAGCTCCTGAGGACAACTGTTCTTTACCTGGTAAGTCTAATTCAAACCAAATACTTATGAAAAAAATATTAATTAAGTCCTATGGCTTTCAATTTCTATGGAATTTAGAAAACAAATTCCAAAATACTCAGCCAATGAGCTTTGTGTGTACATGAGCACAGGCATGTGGTATATTTTCTGTCTAAATCTAAAACGAGTTTTTCTTCCCTGCAAGTCAACTTTCTTTCCTTTCCATTTCTATGTTACACACATGGTCACTCTCTGCTCACTTGGTCAGAGAATGTTTATGCCTCAATGTGAGGTATTTTCCTTGATGGATTTGATTTCCAGGAAAATTAAATTCAACTTCATGGCAAACTGTCATGAGATTTGCTTAATTTTCCAGAAAAGGCACTCAGAATTATTCAGATTCATTTGGAGGGGTCTTACATGCTGGGCCAGAGCTAACAAAAATGCTTAGCTATCCCTAGGAAAGGAAAGGCTGAGCTCCTGTTGTTTGAGAATTTCAATCATCTGTGGGAGTATGCAGGGACATCTTGGGGAAGGTCTTGGCTGGGGCAAGCTGGCACCACTGCTATTTTGAAAGTGCTGTGGGCTCACATCCCCTCTGTGGAATGAGGAAGTAGCAACTGTAAGGAAAATCTTGTTTCTCTCTTTGCTTCTCAGCTCTGAAGCCTTAGACTTCTTAGTACTTGCCCAGTCGGCAGATATTCCCTAACAATGAAATGCACATTAATAAAAAGAATGAAAAAACAGGGAAGGTAAAAAACAATGAAGGAGACTTTTAGAAGCAAGCAAGAAAGTGAGAAAGAAAACAGGCAACAAAAGCTAAACAAAAATCTTGGCAATGATTAAAAGGGTTGTTCGCTGCTCTTATTTACTTTCTAGAGAGGAAGAGCCTAAGCAGGACACTAGGGCTGTGAGGAAATAATTGGTATTTTACTGAGGTTTTTGCTTTTTTTTTAATAAATTTATGTAATAATTTGTTGAAAGCTTTCTTTCCACTCTATCCCATTCTCTCAAGCTTAAAGACATTTCTGCAATACTTTTACTGGTTATTGGACACTAACCAAGAGCAATTCCCCTTTCCAATTGCCCCAGAGTGATTATAAATAATTACTTAACATGAGTTAAATTACCATATTTGAGTACTGGAATCAACAATCTATTGTTTGTGACCAGTTGTGTACCACGGCCTCCCTTAGTAGTTCCCAAAGTATCAGCAGCAGCAGCATCACCTGGGAAATCATTAGGAATGTAAATTATTGGGCCCTAGCCCAGGATCTAATGAATCAGAAACTCTGGAAAGTGGGGCGAAGAAAAGAAATGCACATTTTAACAAGCTGGTCAAGTGAGTCTGATGCAGTTTAAGAATCACTGGCCAACCCACAGAACTGACACCACAAGATCTTCTTGAGAAACTGTCTCATAGGATT